CTTGTTTAATTTCGTTTTTATTAAAAAAATTTTTTGGAGCTCGAACGCGCATTCCTTTCCGGACAACCTAATAGTTGATCCGTCACTCGCTGCCTTCAGGCAACCCTTTCGCTGACGTCCTATTTCGATTTGCGTCACAAGAAAGTGCATCACTGGAGCTGTTGATCGAAATACAGTGGTGAACACTACTTTATTAAGTCTAAGATATATTATGCACATAATTTTTGATGAGATTAACAATTTAAAAGCCGTAGGTAACAGTCAAATAAGCTATCCCTAACTTGACATTCACAAAACACGTTCCACAAACACTTTCTCATCTCATTACGGAGATCTTCAAATGACGAGACCTTGCTGCACTTCTAGAAGGGCTTGGCTACTTTGGTGGAGTTTCTCCACCTCATCGCCGTTCAGATTCTGCTTAACAATGTGTGTGATGCCATTTGCGCCCAGTACAACCGGCAGCGAAAGATAGACCTCATCTTCAATACCATGGAAACCCTGAAAACAAAAACCGTCTCGGAAGATTACAGAAAATCGGGTCCACGTCCCCACGAACAATAGGAAGTGCGACGCGGCGCGGATTGCAGCGCAGCCACCAATGATGCCATCCTGAGCCTCACACAGCTAACGGGGAATTTGACCTGGCTACGCTCCAAGCCACTGTCTAGTCACACGCCCTATCGTTTGCAGGGATCATTACTGTAGTTCATTGCAAAAGATGGTGGATTTCATACCTTCACGTTAGTAGATAAAGCGAAAACATTGCGAGAATTCGTCATAATTGCTTGGACGATTTTCGCCACTGACAGTCCTATGGCCCATGACGTGTATCCCTTCAGCTTGATGATTTCATAAGCACTGAAAGCATAGAATATGTGCCCAAGCCTTGAAAAAACAACAGATATCCTAGAGTGGAATGAACTTTTGATGGTTGACGTGGTTGGCAGTTGGCGGTGGGGGGGGGGGTGCCGAAGTGAAGGGTGTCGAGAATTAAAATTCTCGACCATGGGCGGAATGTGCGCCGGAGGAGCCCATTCCAAGCCCATTCCATTCTCGCCCCATGGATTTTTTTTGGCAACCTCCGTCCTATATGTGACTGCATGACAAGGTTTCGCAACAAGACCATGCGGAAAAGGTCAGGTACTTACGTAACAAGGAGCCTTGGTTAGGGGAAGGGGGAGCGAGGGCAAGGGGGTGGGTATCGGAAATCCTCCCACGCTCTTTTCGAGTGATGTCCTGACAGCGTTTTCAAGTACTTCGCTTTATGCAAACAGAAACCTGAAGACCCATGGAAATCGCATAAAATAAAATGCCAGTCACATCAATCTGCGAAAATTCGATGTCAATGACGTCAATCACATTCACTCACGGGGTAACCCCTACATGTATAGTTAGCCTCTAATGTGGGCTTAGTTTCAGAGCATCCATCAAGAGAATTAAATGTCTGCAACTGACAGGTTTTCAAAGTTCCAGTCTCCTCAGCACTGGCAATTTGTCAAACCGTAAATGTGATCTCATCGCTTTTCAATAGCAAATTCACGAAAGCCATTTTCGTTTAACGACTTGCTTTTATAGTGACACAGTAATCGATCCTTTACTCAAGACAACGGAGCAACTTCTACGCCCTAGCAAGATGGACGAAAAAGAGAAAAAAGGGTGATAGTCTCATCCCTTGATCTTGTCCTGCCCATCGCGTTTTTGTCTCGCATGGCCATGGTAAAGCATGAGAGTATTCTGCCCTCTTTTTTAACTGTCTTACTCGGGCGTTGAAGGTGCTTCCTTATCCTAAGTAGTTCTACCGCTATGTTTCTCTTCATAAAAAATCGCTGAGTGATATTCTTAGATTACCTTTCCACGACCTTCTTGTGGATCTCCTGCTCCCAGTGTTCGTCGTCGGTTGTTCCTCCGATGTCGGGCTTCACGTTGGAGAGCGTCACTCCAGCTACATTCACACCAGACCAGACAGCCACTTGAATGAGAAAACATTCAACAGGAGTTCACAGCACTTCACTGAACCTGAGAGCTCTTATCAAAGGTAGAACTCACCACTTGAGTCTCCATGTTCTCCGATAATCCATCCATGGCATGAAGACGGAGCGATTTTCAGCTTTTGCGAGAGCAGGAAGCGGAATCTGTAAGTAATACCATAGACAGGAATCATTTTCTGTTCTCATGTCTCTTTTGAACAGTGGTTCGATCTGGAAGGTCATTATCAACATTATAAATCACTCAGAACCATAGAAATAAAAGAGGGTCAAGCTTTTGCACGTGCCCCCTGATAGGATGGGCCATGCGTTCTAGTTCCGTTCAGAATCGTGTTGTTTGGACTACGAAATCATTTAAAGACACTTCCTGCGCTCGAGCAATTCGTGAGCATCCTTCCTCTACAAATAGTCTGGCTCTCAGTTCTTAAGATTCTTCCACTTTTGCGGCTTCACAGGAACTGGAGAAAGCGCCGCAGCCCTCGTAAACGGCAGTTCTGGAGTCCGCCTAGCTGTCCTGCACCCCTCGAAGGCTGTTTTCTTCCCAGAGTCTTGTTTCTACAGCTTGTTTTCGTTTTTTTTTATTATGAGACGGTCTCATGGTCAGCATTCGGACGTGAAGAGACGGCAAATGAGCCAGAGGCGGCAGGATATCGCTTTGCTGGCATAAAACGAGCAGGTCTGAAGAACTGTTCTGATAGGCCGCCAGGACCGCACCTAAGGTGTGCTCCATAATTTTTTTGCCTTTTTTTCTTTCCTGTAGAGTCACTTCGCGACTACAGGTTTGCTACTGAACGCCACTAGCCACAATATACGATCGTGAGGCTTTTCTCCAAAGGGCCAGAAGATGTTAATGTCAGTGGTTCATCCTCTCAGACAGGACTAGTCCACTCAAACATCTTAGTTTGATGAAAAGCTTGGTTGGCCCGGGTGGGAGTCGCTCCTAGATTTGAGCCCGGGACAGTGCATGTGGCAAGAGGCACCACTTTTCACTTCCACCTACACTCGAAATACCTAAGA